GCTCACCTTCTTTTCAATGCACCTAGTCAAACAAGAACCAACACAATAAGTAACTAAAATGAAAATGAAAACAAAGTAGAAACACGATCAAAAGAATACTAATTCCTAATTGATTCTACAAATACGACATTGCCTTCAATCAATCCCCGGCAACGGCGCCAAAAACTTGGTGATTTGTGGTCGTCACACCCAAACCAAAGTTTGTGCAAAAGAGAGTGGTGTTTTGGAATATGGTGAGTGTAGCCAAGTTTTATATTTATAATATGCCACTACTACCTTTCACTAAAAATATAGCTAGGGCGAGTAAGGATCGTCCCAAGGGATTGGTGGGTCGTATTAGGTTGTGGAATCGAGATTAGGGTTAGTAGGTCGAGTGATCAAAAGATTGGTTGGTGATTAAATTATGCTAAGATGCAATTTAAACTAAAGTAAACAATTAAATTTAATGGAGAGAAAATGAGAGAGAGATCTTGGGATTTAGAGGTCACCACTAAGCATAACTTTTTAACACCCTTAATGAATGATTAATGGGGGGAAAAACATGTACTGTAACACTAGTGTGTGTGTGTGTGGTTGTTTCAACAAGCATGGATGACAAATTAAGTATATATTGTCTAAGCAACATGATGGATAGCACAATATATCAAACTAAGCTATTAATCCTTTCTTTAAGCTCACAATCCAAACACATCACAAGATTAGAGACATATGTTACTTGCTTTCATAAGTATGGAACATCAAACAACAAGCATAGATTGCCCTCCCATTTAACATCTAAACTACAACTACACTACAACTAAGCTAATAACATGGAATTAAACTAAGGGAGAGGCACAATCCATCAAGAAATAAGTATGAACAATCAAATAAACCACAAGTGCATTCCATTAAGCACTATGTCTTGACAATCTCTAGATTTATATCATTAATACACATAGACATGCATCAATAACACAAAATCTAGAGACAAACACATGAACATCTATTCTAGCATACATAGACATATGGATAGAATGAAATGATCAATTGGAAGCATTAAACCACACAAATCATTGAATAAACAAGATCTATATATATAAAAGTGTCAAAACATGTATCACAATACAAATCTCCTAAAAAACACATAAATCAAGATGTAGAAAGCATGCTTAGGGCTAACTCTAGCCCCAAGAGGATGTCTAGCCACTCATGGATGTTGTCCTCCAACCCTCAAGGGCTAACTCCATGGTAGAGATTGCTCCTCTTCTTGGTTGATGGAAGAACTCCAAGCTTGTGTCTTTAGCCTCCTTTCTTCTTTTCTTCCTCACTAAGAAATGAAAATTGTGTCTCTAGTGTATCTATCTAGTATCTCTCAAGAATGGCTCATATTCCTTATATAGGTAGGTTAAATGTCACTCCCAATGAGCTGGGCTCGTACACCAATATTCCTTCCAATGATTGGACATGAGACAACTTTTAATGAGCTGGAAATTGGATTTTCTCGGGCTTGAGGAAGTTCGATCGATCGAACTTGTGGTGAGATCGATCGAACATGGTTGAGATCTATCGAATTTAAGCTGGATCAATCCTCTATGGCGGTGCCTTTTTGGATAAAGACAAATCTGAGATATTTTGAAGATATTTTTGGGAAAGAGACAAGTGTGGTAGGTAGGGTGGTACAATTGGATAAGATGGAATCTTTTCGATCGATCGGAAGAAAGTTGGATCGATTGAACTTTGTGGGATCTTTGGATAAGGACAAAAGAGCTTGGATCCATCTTGAAATGCTGAGATCGATGAACTTTCGATCTATCGAATATTTTCTGAGATAGATCGAACTTGCTGAATTTCCACTACTTGCTTCCTTTTGCTCCCACTTTGCTCTTTTCTTTGATTCATCCCAAGATTGCTTCAATTATGCTCTTATTTAGCTGAGTTAGCTTATTTTGGGGATAAGTACCTGAAAATGGAAATAATACAAAATTAATTTAAAGCGGGAAAATAAGATAGATAAAGGTTCTAGAATACCTAAGCTTAAGGGGTTTAAATGCGCACTTTTCAGCGCTCATCAAAGAGCCAAAGTCATTCTCCTAAGCAATCAAGGTTCCGCATTGGCGTGATGCTATGACCACTGAACTTACTGCCGTTGAAAACAACCACACATGGAGCCTTACTCCTTTACCACCCAATAAGAAACCTATTGGGTGTAAATGGGTTTATAAAATCAAGTATCACTCTGATGGCAGCATTAAAAGATACAAAGCCCGATTAGTTGCCAAGGGCTTCACACAAGTTGAAGGGCTTGATTACCATGACACCTTCGCCCCCGTCGCCAAGCTTGTTACTGTACGAGCTCTTCTATCAGTTGCTTCTGTTAAAAAATGGTCTCTCCATCAACTTGATGTGAACAATGCATTTCTTCATGGTGATTTGGATGAAGAAGTGTACATGAATCTTCCACCTGGTTTTGCTCCACAAGGGGAGGCTCGAGTTTGCAAATTACATATATCTCTCTATGGTTTGAAGTAGGCTTCTCGCCAATGGTTTGCAAAGTTTTCCCACACTCTTCATGATGCTGGATTCTCCCAATCACTAGCAGATTACTCTTTGTTTACCCGGATCAGAGAACCATCTTCCACTTTTGACTTGGTGTATGTCGATGACATCATCATTACTGGTAATGACTTATATGCAATTCAGCAATTGAAACACTTTCTTGCACAAAAAATTTTCATCAAAGACCTTGGGCGACTGAAATATTTTCTTGGAATTGAGGTTGCGTGTTCCCAGCGAGGCATTTTTTTTGTCCCAACGCAAATATACATTGGACATCCTGAAAGATGCAGGATTACTTGGTGCTAAGCCTTCTGCCACTCCCATGGAACAACATCTTCATTTGACTACTACTGATGGTACACCTTTATTAGATCCTTCTTCCTATCGTCAACTAATAGGATGTCTTATCTACCTCACAGTTACTAGACCTGATCTTGCATATTCAGTTCAAATTTTGAGTCAATTCATGTAAGATCCCCGCACTCCTCACATAGATGCAGCCACTAAAGTGCTTCGCTATCCAAAGGCACACCTGGAAAAGGTATAATGCTATCTTCATCAACCTCACTCACTTTGAAAGGTTTTTGTGACTCTGATTGGGCAGGATGCCCCACAACTCGTCGCTCTACCACTGGTTTTTGTGTTCTCCTTAGTTCTAATCCCATCTCACGGAAAACAAAGAAGCAAAGTACTATTTCTCGCTCATCCGTTGAAGCAGAGTATCGTGCCATGGCAACACTTACATCTGAACTTCAATGGCTGCAATACCTTTTGAATGACCTTGGTATCTCTCACACATCACCCATCACTCTCTATTGTGATAACCAAGCTGCCATGCACATTGCCGAGAATCCGGTGTTTCATGAGCGCACAAAACACATTGAGCTTGATTGTCATTTCGTTTGTGAGAAAATTCAGTCCAAATTGATTTCTCTTTGTTACATTCGATCCGCTGAACAAATCGCCGACATTTACCTTTGGGTAAGGATCAGTTTCATTGTCTTATGAGCAAGCTGGGCGTTACTCACATACACGCTCCACCTTGAGGGGGAGTATTGGAGACAAACAAGGCATTACAACAATAGACCAGCCAAAACAAATCTGGAAAGCTTGATTACAACAATTGTAACGTGTATGTTAGTTTGGTTAGCCTATAATTTTGGGATTTGTTAGCTGTCAATATTTGTCAAATATTAATTGTATAAAACATCTATATATACAAAATGAAGCTGTGGTTTTCCTGCAATAAGGGAATTACCAATTAAACAATTTGTCATTCTTTTCATTCCTTTTATTCCCTGCCATATTCAGTTTTTACACTCTTATTAACGTTAAGTTGTGCTAGACCTTGAGATGAGATCTCCTTGATAAGCCCTAAACTTATGCCACCAAGCCAAGTACCCTTAGTTTTTCAATAGGTTGCTACATAACTACGTACCCTGAAGTGGGTTATGATAAATGCTTATATACCTCTTTGATCATTTCATATCTGCATGCTTCAAGGTAGACATGATGAGTCATTCGTGCATCTAGGGACACATGCCCCTTTCTTGCTCCTAACATAGGCTTTGTAGGTTCATATCAAGAGATCTTTTCAATCTTCAAAGTTACAGAAATCGGAAGATATCTTTTGGTGACAAGGAAAGAGGTACTCGTAATGTGAAGAGGAAGGTTACTACTAATCAAAAAAAAAAAAAAAAAACAAAAAAAAAGGAAGAGGAAGGTTATATCTGGTGTAGTCATCGTTGAAATATTGGTACTAACAGTGAGTTACAAAGAAGTTCTTGTAAAATATATATGAGTAGGGGGCTCATCAGAGTCAATGAGTACATGGAGAAAACTGCAAGGTTTGTCTGTAGCAAGACCTGTATAGAGAAAATTAGGAACTATTTGTTACATGAGACGGATCACAGAGCTGGAGAAATATGCAATGTTAAAGGCTAGGTCTATCAGATACATAGCATGTAGTTTTGATGTAGTGGTTACCCGGGAATGGACGATTCCTGATATAACATAGTATCAAAGAATTCAGTCGAAAAATAGCTTCTTGTTTCTCTCTACTTATTTCTTCTCCTTTGTTTTCCATATAGGTAAGAATCCCTGAACCTTTCCTTCTCTAAGGCTGTCATGTTAACACTTTCTTGGTAATAGGACAAAAGCTTTGGCCTATATATTATTTACAAACCATGTAAATTTGCCAAAGTGGTTAATTTTGTGTTTGAGAAGGAATTAAGGAAAGAGAAAAGCCTAAACAGATACTAGAAATAGGTGGCTGAGAAGCATCGCAAAAGTTTATGCAACTGCATGTGGCATTTTGGTGAAAAATTAGATTATTTGTTCTTTTAGATTTCTTTCATGATATTATTAGTATAGCATTTTTATACCTCAGTAAGATGTTCCTTCTTTCCTCCATTATCTCATGGAGTTAACATGAGTTATTGACGTATCAATATGATTTTATGCAGGATTATAGATCTTTCCTATAATAACTTTACTGAGACATCTGTGCTACCTTCGTGCACTAGCAAAACCCTGTAAGATATTTTTTTCTTTTTTCTTTCTTCTTTACTTAAGCTTCCCTAAGCTTTACATGAATTTCTTTTCTTCATTTTATTATTATTATCTTTGTTACATGGACTCTTTAAAAATAGTGAAGTATCCGTGTTGGACACGTATCCCTCGGACTTGGGTATGGGATATGTGTCCGACACTTTTGGTTGGACATGTACTTAAAAAGCATATCCAATCATTTAATTACATTATATTATTACTTTGAAATGAGTTAAATGCCTATATTGAACATTATATTAGACAAAAACATTCCTTTACTTTAGAAAATAAAATAAAATAATTAATAAAATGAATATTTAGCCGTGTCCGTGTGTCCTTCTATTTGGAGATTTGACACGTCCGACGCATAGATATATACCCATGTTTGACACCCCTACCCGTGTTACATGACATATACCCGTGTCCGACACCCATACCCGAGTCCATATAACATAAATTATTATTATTATTATTATTATTACCGTCTGTGTTCATCATCATTATTTTGTGTTTTTTATTTTTTAATTATCATTATTGTTATTTTGTTTTTCTTAATCAGAAATTTGTTCAGAAGCTTCCCTAGATGGATAAACTTGTAAGCCTCTCAACTCGTACTTACAATTTGTATATTTTTTTATTTTTTATTTTTATTTTTTTCTTTTTCTCACACTTTTCTTGTACTACATCAATTTAGGGAATTTGATAAGTGCACTCCTTGTTTAGAAGGTAAGTATTTATTTCTTAGTATCAAAAGTAAGATTATGTTATCAAATTTATTACTCCCTCTGTCCCAAAAAGAATGTGGAGTAGAAATTTTTAAAGGGATATGTGGGCCATGTATTGTCCCCCTCCAAAGTTACTAACTTGCTCTTTAAGTTTTGAATATTTAAGTTTAAAATTTTAAATTCTAAGGACATATATGAAAAAATGTAAAATATATTGTTTGAAAAAGGAAAGTGGTCATTTAGTTTGGAACAACCCAAAAAGGAAAGATGTACATTTTGTTTTGGGACAAATGGAGTACAACTATTAATTCGAATCTTCGGGCCTTATTCATTGGTATCCAACTATGGAATTATGGATCAACTAAATGGTCAACACCTGTTCTTTCATGCTATCAAGGAACACACACAAACACACGCTTATGGAACATACTTTTCTTTTCTTTTTTTTTTTCTTTTTTTTTTTTATTTTAATTCTTCCCTGTTTGCTTTTATCTTTGGTCAATCTAACTGTTTTTTCTTTTGTTTATTTCCCTGAAGATTTGTATTCATTGCATATAAATTGTGGCGGAGAAGAAGCCACCATTGGAGAAACTACTTATGAAGCAGATGAAGACCCCAGAGGTTCAGTTCCTGAAAAAGAGAATTGGGGAATTAGTACCACGGGACGCTTTTGGGATATTAATGTAACTGCGAGTGACTATATAGCGAAAAATGTATCCGTCCTCGTAGGGAACGACACTCGATTGTTGTACACAAGAGCTCGCCTCTCTCCTCTGTCTCTCACCTATTATGGGCATTGCTTTGCAGATGGGAACTATACTGTGAGTCTTCACTTTGCTGAGATAATAATCAGAGAAAATCAATCTTTTCAGAGTCTTGGAAGACGGATTTTTGATATTTATATCCAGGTACTAATTGCATTGTAAGTGTGCCTTTTAATATGCATAAAAAAGAAATTAATTTCATTTGTTTGTGGCAGGATGAACTGGTTCGGAAGGATTTTGATATTGTACAGGAAGCACAAGGGGTCGATAAGGCAGTAGTGCTAAAATTTAACAGTGTTGTTAAGGAAAAGACGTTGGAGATTCGCTTTCATTGGGCTGGGAAAGGGACTACAATCGTCCCGACAAGAGGAACATATGGTCCACTCATATCAGCTATTTCTGTGGAATCTAGTAATGTTATTTTCTGTCTAAAGGCTGTTATATCTTCTCTTTATGTTCAATCAAGGTAGACTAACTATAAATGATTGATTAATGACATGGTAGAGAGTTATTCCCGGCTTTGAGACATGAAATTAGGGATCTGCTACCAGGATTTTAATTTGTAACTTTTCATTTTTTTTTCATACTAGTTAATTTGCCTCTTGAGTCGTCCTATTACTGTTAGAAGTTTTCAAAATTTGGATTCTTCTGGCTGTACACAGAAGTTTGGACATTGTAGCATGTAATCTTAGCCTGTTTAATGTTCTTCTCTTTTTTGGGCAGATTTTAAGCCGCCTTCTGATGGGAAAAGGAAGATATTCACGGTAATAATTGGATCTATAGCTTCAGTATCATTCCTCATTTTCACGACTCTCGGTATTTTTTGGTGGAGAGGTTGTCCGGGAAGCAGTATCTCAAGTGAACGAGGTGCATAAATCTTTTACAGACTTGTTGATTTGAATTCACAACCAAAAATCTTCACATATTTCAGCTATTGCAGGATGTAAGAACAATGCGTGACAGAGTATAGATAGGTCCTTTGAGTGTTGCAGGTCACATGCGAACTATGATTATAGAAGTTATAATACCAAGCAGACTTGCTTGTTTGTTTAGTAGAATTGAGACACAACCAAATTTGTCAGAAACTATACGTAGATATTGTCTGCTTTGCACCCTCTTGACACTCATGGTTTTAAAATGCGTCTAAATAGGTTGGGGACATCCCCCTTGTAAGTGCCAGCAACTTCTTCCTAGACAATGTGGGATGCCACAATCGCCCCCTTTTGCGAGTCGGTGCCCTTTCTGGTGTGACCCCCATGTGTTTGTGCACGCTCCCCCATATGTCAAGACCCACCTCACACTTTGTAGATATTGTGCACTTTGCACCTTCTTGGCTTCACTGTTTGTAAACATCTACACAGGCAGGAAACATCCTTTCTTATAAGTGCTAACAACTTCTTTCCCTCTCGCCAGTCAATGTGACGTCACAAAATTAGTATTTTATATTTTTAATCAACATGTTCATATGGTCTTGACAAAACTCTTACGCTGGTTGCCAAGTGACCTAACGTAATCATCCTCCTTTTTTCGGGCTTGGGACTGGGGTGTAAAGATGACACATGCGGAGTAAATTGAGAAAATATCGATTAAGACGGTTTGGACACGTACAAAGTAGACCACTTGCTCCAGTTAGGCAGAGTGACACCGTCTTAATGCTAGAGGAGGGGAAGACCAAAGCTAAAATGGATAGAGAGTTAGGAAGGATACGTTAACATGTTTTTTTTTGAAAAAGTGAGTGAATATTAGACATAAGAGAGACAACGGACTTCCAGATTCAATTTAATTCACTTTTAAATGTCCGAAACTCAGATGAGCTTGAGCTCGTATTTGTGTAGTTTCTTTAATATTCAAATGTCCCCGTTTTGAGGCGGTTGAAGTAGCACCAATGAGATAAAATGAGAAAAACTTGATTGAGATAATTTGGCCATATACAATGAAGACCAATAATTGCTCTAATAAGGAAGAGTGAAGTGGCCTTATTGAAGGTACTGATAGGGGAAGGGAAGATCAGGACTAACATGGGCTAAAATACAAAGGAAAAATATGATAGCATGTGGCTTGATTAAGGTTACAATCCAACCACAGGTTAAGATACTAAGGAAAGATATGTTCCAATGAGATAGTTTGATTTCAGTTTGGGAAAAGAATTAAATGAGTTGAATTGAGTGTAAGATGTTGGGATTAGTGTAGTTGAAAAGTTATAAGTTCTATTATCTCTCTATTACTTCGTTGCAAACAAAATAAAGCATTATTATTTTCTCATTTCATTTCTTATTCTCATTCTTCCAAATGTTATCTTTTATTTAAAAGGCAGTCAGATACTTGGCCAAAACGAGAAGTTACTGCATTTTGTGATAGTTCAATATTTTACATTGCTCTGCAGATCTTAGAGGATTAGATTTGCAAACTGGTTTATTTACCTTTAGACAAATTGAAACTGCTACTGATAACTTCCATGAGGCAAACAAAATTGGGGAAGGAGGTTTTGGATCTGTGTACAAGGTATATAGCAATAGATTTTCTAGCTTCTTATTTTGCTCTCAGTTTTTTGTTTGTGTGTGATGAAATTTGGAGATGGACATTTGATATTACATTTTAATTGAAACTATTTATTGTTATTAATTAAAAATATAAGTTGTTATTCCATTGCAGGGTATACTATTGGATGGTACTGTAATCGCAGTCAAGCAACTTTCTTCCAAATCAAAGCAAGGAAATCGTGAATTTGTGAATGAAATAGGCTTGATTTCTGGTTTACAGCACCCAAATCTTGTAAGATTGTATGGATGCTGTATTGAAGAGAATCAATTACTACTGGTATATGAGTACATGGAAAACAATAGCCTTGCCCTAGCTCTGTTTGGTATGTTACTTTTATACTTCGTTCTGTATCCTCTCTTGATTAGAAAAAGATTCCTAATGAATAGTATAACTTATTTACCGCCATATAATATTGTATATTTTTCTTTGATTTGGCTATTTCTTGTTAATTATAGGTCCAAAGGAATTGCAATTGAAATTAGATTGGCCGACCAGACAAAGGATTTGTGTTGGCATAGCAAAAGGTTTGGTGTTCCTGCATGAGGAATCAACATTAAAAATTGTTCATAGAGACATCAAGACTACCAATGTACTACTGGATAGGGATCTTAACCCTAAGATATCTGACTTTGGATTGGCCAAGCTTCATGATGAGGAGAACACCCACATTAGCACCAGAGTTGCTGGAACTGCGTGAGCTACCAATTTACTCTTTCCTTGAGGAATACTCTAATGTTGTTCCAATATTTTAAAATTTTATTTTTAAATATGACTTAAAATATGGTACAATTCCATTCTTTCATCACCAAATTACCATTATTTATAAATATGAATGTTGTTAGCTGAAATTACAAGGTTGATTTGCTTCCCTGAATGTAACCAAAACATTGCAATCAAATTGTAGATAAGCTTCATTAGGTTTCTGCATATGCAATTAAACCATACTTGTGAACAGGTTGTTAACCAGAACCATAGTAATGGAGATCCTAATGGGCTGCGTGGTCTACGCACTTATAGGTGTAGGCGTAGAGGATGATTTTAGGAGCTCTTTTATTTTTATATATTATTTTTCTTTCTCATTCTCTCTCCCATCCTGCATCAATTTGGTATCCGAACACTTCTATCCTACATAACTTAGTTGTGACAAGGTTATGGTCACATGAGAGTATTTTTATTTATTCTATTATGGTTATCAGTATTTATATCAACTTGCAAAGTTCCATACATAACTGCCTGCCTACCCCATGGTGGGAAGAGGCTTTGCTTCATAGACTCAATAGTCAAGAGTGACACATATGAAAAATATATCTATGGCAACATGCAGTTTCGGTCGCCGACCGAACCTTGCCCAGATTGGGCATCCTCTTGTGGGTCACTTGGGTCCACTCTCCGACCATTTCTGGACTCATTTCATGTTGGCTTCTGCATTCAGGACTTGGATTAGAGTCTGGTTTACCTGTCACTTAGTATTATTGTAGAACAGAATTGGAAAGAAGTGCACCACACCGAACTGGAACCACCCACCAACCCTAAAACATTTATGCTCAGTTTGGTTACAATTCCACACTTAGTGATTTAGTATGGTATTTGGTACAACACTAGTGATAAAATCTTGTCAAAAGCGATGATTATATTTCTATGGTTTAAGCTGCTATGGATTCAATCAACTTTTTAGCATTAAGAATCCTTTTATGCGAACAAGACCTATTTAAATATTCTAGTGCAATTACTTTTCAATATTAAGATTCCTTTTTTATTGTGAACAAGGCCTATTTCAATTTTCTCAAATGCAATCAGTAATGAAGTTATTACCATATTTTGCTAGCCTTATCAATGAGGCTTGCCAAATTGTCAGTCAAATAAGCATGATTCGCATATATTACGTAAGGCTGATGCTATTGTCATACTTGCTGTTCACTAAAGCTTCTATTAATAAAGTACAAGTGTTTGAATAATGTTTATTGTGCAGAGGGTACATGGCACCGGAATATGCACAATGGGGTTACTTAACCTACAAAGCAGATGTGTACAGTTTTGGGATTGTTGCATTGGAGATTGTTGCCGGAAAGAACAACATGAAATATCATCCCAGTGAGAACGATGTTTGTCTCCTTGATTGGGTAAGAGTATTCATTTGATTCGAAACACAGTTTTAAAATCAGTATGCATGCTTGCTATAAGACTTGCTCATTTGGCTTAGTTTCCTTCTTTGTGTCATGTTAAACTCAATCTAGGCTGGGAATTGAAACTGCCTGAATTGGCTATGTTAGAGAGGACAGGAGCTAGTTTGCCCATTTAATTTGCTTGCAAGGTTAATTATATGGACATCAATATCCTGTATTCTTTAAAATAAAAGGAATTGCTGATATTTTAATTAAGTTAGCTCAGCTTATGTTGCCGGTTCGCCGACCCAGGTAGGCCGGGTGGTTTGGTTGAGTGAGCCGAATTTGTGAGGTTTTGTGTGTAACAGTTCTCCATTGTAAACGCCCATTATTGATAGTGAAAATTCTGGTGCGTTCCGTGGATGTAGGCAAAAGTTTTTGCCGAGAACCACGTAAATCATTTGTTTTCTTGTGTGATTGTTTTCTATTCCCAACATTGACCTGGTCAATGGTTAATAATCCCAAGTCGAGTGCCTGAAATCCCATTATGGAATATTTGCGTGAAGAGCCTGGTTGTCAACTACTGCTAATTATCCTAGGTTCTTTTACTGGCTTGTGGTTTCATTTCATTTTCAATCTCCACCTTGTGCACATTTCAGGCCTTAGCTTTACAACAAAAAGGATGTCTGTTAGAGTTGGTGGATCCAAAGTTGGATTCCAATTTCAACGAGGAAGAGGCATTAAGGATGATCCAAGGAGCTCTATTATGCACTAATCCATCTCCGGCACTTAGGCCTACGATGTCTGCATTGGTAAGCATGCTCGAAGGCCGTATCAGCGTCCAGAACATAATCACGGACCCGAGTATCTATAGTGATGAGTTGAGGTTCAAAGCCCTCAAAGGCAAATATGAGGCAGGGTCAAGTGAAAGTAAGACCTTCATTGATTCATCAGAAGCAACACGATATGGATCTTCCACCACATCTGCTCGGGATCTTTATGAAATCAATCTTGATTCTCAGTAACTATAAGCAGTTGTGTGAATTATGTTATTGTAGACTAATGGATTGCATTCATGCTTTTTCCTAGTTTAGAAAACAAAAATTTGCAATAATTTCTACAAACATACTAAAATGCTATCCATGTTTTACATTATGTATCGCCCTGCTTTCCTACAGAAAACAATATTGTACTTCTCATGCTTGTCAAAGAGAATTTCCCGAGTATGTATGTGTGGTGTGTTGTTTTGGAGAAAACATAGTCGACTTTTTATTGTCATTGCATGAATAGGATTTATACTCAAATATTCATGTTGGGTATTGACAATATGAGAGAAGTGAGACAGTGGGCTTGTAACATCCATAACATATACTGTTGTTTTGGATCAATTATAATTACATACGAATGCTGACAGCTAGCATATATGCTAAACTTGAGTTTTAATAAGCAGACATCTCGCAGATATGCTAAACTTGATCCTGACAAACCATGATAGCCAATCAAACAACATACAAGAAACAAATGCACCACCTTATTCCTATGGAAAGTGCTATTAGGAAGTCTAAGCCCACTCATTCAATGAAAGCACCAAGCTGGCTTTTGATGGGCCGAAGTGAGAACCATGTGTGGGTCCCACTTCAAGGTCATCAATGGCATTGATGTTTCTAATTTTATGAGTGGGGTAGCTGCTCCTTTTTTTCGCCCCATGTCCTTGTCTAGAATACCAGTTCACTATTCATATTTATGCATAAATCAGGAAAAAGAAGAAGAAGATTAAAAGTAGTTTTTCCTTTTTTTCAAACACCACAGAAAACTTTTACGCCGTATTCATGAATTTTCCGTCCTTCCTCTGTTTTGAAGAATTTTTGATATTCCGAGAATTCATAGGGCTTGAAACGTAATGGGTGTTCTTCATCTACTAGCTCGTCTGGGGCTTTTATAATGTAACCTTCTTTTGAGGACGAAAACAAACCCACTGAGTACCTCGTTTCATTTCCAGTCATCACAACCCGATGAGGCAGAGCCTTCACACGGCCATTAGTCCATGCCTACAAATTGATAAAATTTGAAATTCTAAAAAATGTCATGATGTTGATGTCATATACGAATATTGTCATTTATTCATACCGTGTCATTTGATTTTTGCCTGTCACATTAAACAACGTACATGAATGATTGTGGAACTTAAAAGAGACACCATACATTTTTATACATCTATTAAATTTGCTTATATTTCCGAAAAAGAAAACATTTATCATTAAAAGTTATTCGATTTTCTTTTCCACTTTGAAACAAAGTAGAAAACTGAAAACTCAGTGAAACATGGCCATAACTTGAAGCCTTATAAACTGGTCAATTTTATTAGGTTTCTGTTTATAAAGAAAAAGGACTTTAATACGACTTCCATGTTGAAAGTGAGCATGTATATATGAATTAATTGATGATCAGTGGTTGAAGTTGATGATTCATCAAGTTGGTCCATCTGTCTTTCCATATTAATATATATATATATATGCAAGGGGAGCAAGTGAAGAAACTAACGTGGAAAGAATCTCCGGCCATGACGATGAAAGAGTCCACCGACGAGGAGGATGATTTCATGTTGACCCACTTCCCGTCTTTGCTTTGCACCTCTAACCCACCAACCTGATTAATCTGATACAATATGCTCAAAAGGTTCTTGTCAGTGTGGGAAAACAGCATAAGCTTGTTATCCATAGTTTTGGGACCTTCATACTTCATTACTCGAAATGTGTGTAGGCTCGAATCAATGTGTTCGTCACAGTATTTCTCAACACCAAAGCTCTCCAAAACCATCCTTCTAATCATTTGATCCATTTCAGATAGTTTCTCTGAGAAGAACTGTACCGTTTTGCTGCCAAAGGAAGAGTACGTGGTCAAAAGTTATAAAAACACCTACAAGAACTATAACAATATCATTTTTCAGTGTAACACTGTAACTAACAACAACAACAAAAACTAATTAAATTTACTGACCCAAAGCTAGGGTTTCCTTCTGGCCACAAGAGATTAATGAAGCTGCTGAGCTTCTCGGGGATGAGTACATCTTCGACATCCATGCTCTCCCAGGGTGCTTTTGTCGACCGTGCGGTATAGACAGTACCTAAGGGCTCATTAGCAGAGACTATTTTTGATTTAGTTTGCAAAGGAAGTTCAAACATTTTTTCTATTTCACCTAACATGGATTTTCGAAGCTCAGAAGGAATTTTGTTGAACAAAGCCTCGAAGCCACCACATTCTTGGAATGCTAGCTGAACCCGGGCTCTCACCGAGTCCCACTCAGGAGTGCCGGCCTTTAGCTCATCTGAGAAAACTATGACAGGAAGAAGAGCTTCGGAGCCCATTCTTTTTTTCTTTCTTTGGCAGTTAGGGGCTGAAACAGCTAATTTTCTTAGTATGCAATTGTTGATAGAGCTCTAAGATGTTTCTATAGCAAATTTATATAGAACTTCTATTTTGGGGCAAATTAATGATATATATTATATTGTACTGACATGGATGTATCAACATATTCGATCTGCATACAAATATAGGAAATATATATATTGCCACATCAATTTTGTTATGCATTGTCATAACAAATATCATGTCTCCCTCACCACAAAGAAAGAACTAGAAAACAAACAAAAGAAAAAGTAAAAAAAGCATTGTATTATTGGGTCATATGTGTGTGTGCATATATATATATATGATTAAATGACAGTGATCAGATTAAATTTTGAAATGCTGAAAGCAATGGATTAGGTTATTCTATATGTGTGGCGCCAATCTAAACAATGATTTCACGACATGAGACAAGATTTATTGTATAAAATATTTAAGCTAGCATATTTTATGGTTCAAATTAATGTAGTTGCAGCTTTCCAGTAAAATTTGATAGCTATGTTTTTTTTGGGTACTTTCTAAACTGCTCCCACACACAAATCATTTACCAATTACCATTGACGGATATATCAAAAATATTATTTTGTTCAGTTTTTTTTAATTAAAAAATATATTTTCTGATAATTAAAAATCTGACCAAAAAAAAAAAAGGAAAAAGAAAAAAAGAGATATATGAATGATAGCTTGGCTACTTGGCTGTATATATAGAAAGAGATATATTTAGTGACATAGATAATGAAGTTATCATTCATCACTTCCAGAATAGAACCCCTTTTAATTGTATTTAATGAAAATATTATTAATTGGTACTTTCGTTCTTATATTTGTCAAGTTTTATTCTTTTATTTATTTATTATTATTTGAGATTATGAGATTATATATAAACAATTTATATTTGTCATCTTAGTTGATTTTTTATTTTTATTTTTATCAAATATACTGTGCCCTTGACCAGAACCACCATTCCTACCAACCTAACTACCAAATCATACTCCATATCAATTCTCAAGAGATCCACAACACTTACCAGAACCATGCAAACTAAGAGCTTTTCCATCCAATTAATCCCCCACTTCCATTAAAACCACCTCTACCTCCAAAACCAATTACACCAAGCAAAAATTTCTCATCCATCATTCTTGGCTAGGGACGGCTATATGTTTATCAGGTTGAGCATGATGCTGTCTAATTAAAACGGTTCTGGTCTCTAATTGGGCCTTTTCTTTTTGTCCTTGTTGTCTAACTTCTCTTATGGGCTGCCTGAACGTTGGGCGGGCCTGAGCCACCTTGTAAATTTATCACAATTTTTTTTTTTTTTTTTAGGACACATTATTTAATTACTCACTCTGTCTATTTATTGGGGAATTCAACATTTATGTTTCCTTTGGTAGGAAGGAAAAAAAATTAGATGGTAGGAGAAAATAAGAGAAGGATGAGACATTCTTAGGAAAGAGATTGCGTTATTATTCTCTCTTTTTGTTTGATTGGATGGAAGAAAAAAGAATAGGATAATACCTTATTTTGTTTGTTAGGAGAAAAAGGAAGAGAGAGTGTTTAATTAGAAGGAAAATTTTGTAATTTAATTTTTTTTTTATAATAGCTTTTTTTTTTTCTTCGCATCTTTGTTCTTATTTGGATGGAAGAAAATTTGTGACAGAGGAAAGATGACTCATCTATCCTCTTTTATCTTCTCTTCTTACCTCCTACTCTCTCCTCTCTACCAAATGGAGGAAGTTTGTTTCTTCGCATCTTCCATCTATATTTGGAGGGAAGAAAATTTGTAAAAGAGGAAGGATGATTCATCTATCATTTTTTCTCTTCTCTAATTACCTCCTCTTTACCAAAAGAAGGAAATTTGTTTCTTCGCATCTTCCATCCATATTTGGAGGAAAGAAAATTTGTAAAAGAGGAAGGATGATTCATCTATTTTCTTTTCTCTTCTCTAATTACCCCCTCTCTACCAAAAGAAGAAAATTTTTTCTTCCTTCGTATCTTCTCTCCACCATCTTCCTTCTTTCTTACCAAATAGAGTTATGGTAATGAGTTCTTAATAATTTTTTTATTATATTGATAAGTGTGAATTTTTAAATATATTCTTGTTAAAAGACAAATGAGTGTATTTTCTAATTTTGCACTTGTTTAATGAAGTCAATATTAGAATGATAGTATGATAATGTTATAAAAAATAGTAAATCCATTTTTTAAATGAAGCATGTATTTTGGGAACATCCTAAAATAAAATAAAATTAAATGAAAAGAATATTTTGGACGAAGTGAGTAGGTTAATTTTTTCTGATGTATAGGATTGCTCAAATTAAATTATGCAGATTACAAAAGGCTCATCATCTAACAAGCAACCAAGGTTTAAAAATGGAAAGAAAGAAAAAAAATGATCATGCAGCGCAGTCATGTGAATACTGTAGCTACTGTTCCCAGCACTCACTCATTGTAATATATATTATTTATTTCTTTGAAACAAGTAAAAACAAACATTAGGAGAGGAACATGTTATGCTGGCTTGGATTTGTTATTGCTATAGTATAATATTTGTCCCAAGCAGATATCGTGCAGACATGCTAAATTTGATCCTGACAAGCGTTGATATAACCAACCAACACTTGATGAAACAAACAGCATAAAACACATAAACACACCTTATTCGTATTTACAAAGTAGAAGGAAAATAGACTAGGAATAGTTGTTCCACATCCATAGGCCAATCCAAACGAATCAAAAACCTCTTCATTAACGATTTCTGCTGCTCCGTGTAATTGGTGAGTTTTATCACTAATATTAATGGTGAAATTCCTCAATTGTGAGGAACAGCAGGAAATTGTTACTGGAGAGGGTTTGGATCCATCTTAAACACCACAGAAAACTTTTATGCCGGATTGATGAGAAGTGTATCCTTTCTTTGTTGCAAAGAAGTTGAGATATTCTTTATAGTCAAAGGGCTTAAAGCGTACTGGGTGTTCTTCATCCACTAGCTCGTCTGGGGCTTTTATAATGTAGCCGGCTTTTGGGTTTGAAAAGAGACCCACTGAATACCTCGTTTCATGTAAAGGCATCACAACCCGATGAATTGGAGCCTGCAAATGCCCATTCGTCCATGCCTACAAATTGATTGATAAAATTTTAAGTACTAAAAAATGTCATAATGTTATGATCACTTGATTTTTATGTGTGACAATAAACACTTATATAAATGATTATGAAACCTAAAAGAGCATGAAAAAAAACTTGCACACTATGCATTCTTACACATCTATTAAATTTGCTTAAACTTATGGGAAATAAGACATTTATCAGCAACCTCTATTCAATTTTCTTTTTCTTTTTGAAACAATGTTTAGATCTAAACCAAGACCAAAATGATCGAGTTCGGTGAATCTCTTTATATATAAAAGACGAAGAGAGGCTTGACCAAGACTAGTTCATAAGGCTTCAATTTATGGGCATGTTTCACACTTGGTTTTCTGTTTTTTGTACTTTCATTTGGGTAATAGTATTTGGAGAATTGTTTTTAGAAACCACCCTATTTTGAACCTATCCTTTGCAAGTGTCAGTTACTTGTTTCTTTTCTCTGTCTCACCATATATATATATATATATAGTATATAAATACATATATATTTTTAATAAATAAAAAAAACATGCAAGGGTAGCAAGTGAAGAAACTAACGTGGAAGGAATCTCCGAGCATGACAACGAAAGAGTCCGGCGATGGGTTCACATTGATCCATTTTCCGTCTTTGGTTTGTACCTCTAACCCATCTATCTCACCAGTCTGACACAGTATGGTCAAAATGTTCTTATCAGTGTGGGGTATCAGCACAACCTCGTTGCTGTCCATATTTTCGAGAAGCACATTTTCGGAAGCTTCATACTTCATTGCTCGAAGACCATATCGGGATTTATCTATGTGTTCATCATAGTATTTCTCAATACCAAAGCTCTCCAAAACCATCCTCCTAATCATTTGATCCAATTCAGCTACCTTCTCTGAGAAGACCCCTACTGTTTTGCTGCCAAAATGAAGAGTATGCACGTGGTCACTAGAAGTAGTAATCTTCCAAAAACAGTTAAATCTTAAAAACAACACGGAAAAGTGATTTTATTTTGGAGGTGAGTTTTGGAGGTGTGAGTGAATTTGTTTTAACTTTCAAAAAAAATAAAAATAAATAAATAATAATAATAATATATAATTAAATTTACTTACTCAAAGCTAGGGTTTCCTGTGTTTCCTTCTGGCCATAAGCGATTAGTGAATCTTGTGACATTTTCGGGAATGATTACATCTTCGATACCCATGGTCTCCCAGGAAGCTCTTGATGACTTGCCAGTGTAGCCAGTACCGAAGGGCTCATTATCAGAGGTTACTGCTGTCTTTTTCTCCATAGGAATGTCAAGCATTTCTCTTGTTGCACCCATCATGGATTTTCGAAGCTCAGAAGGGATTTTGTCGAACAAAGCCTCGAAGCAGCCATATTCTTGGAGTGCTTGCCGAACCCGGGCTCTCACCGAGTCCCACTCAGTAGTGCCCGGCTTTAGCTCATCTGAGAAAGTTATGACAGGAATAACAGATTCCAAGCCCATTGTTTTTCTTAATTTCTTTGGCAGTAAGGAGCTGATGCAGATAGTATGCAATTGTTGATGAGCATTAAAATGTTCTATAGCAAATTTATATAGAATTTCAATTTATGCTTCATGTTGCAAGGGGACAAATGAGAGAGATACATTATATTGTAGTGACAAGGATATATTAGCATATTCTGCAAACATGTACAGTATAGGAAAAATCGATTTAATTATTTAAAAAAAAAAAAAAAAAAAAATTGCTTTGGGATCATATATTTATATATTGATGTACAACAGGTTATCGACTTTTCCTAAGTACATTTGGATAAGAATGTTTCGACCAGTGAGAAGATCAATTGATTAGTAAGAATCAGAACCCACTAGCAAAACGATTTTGGATTGTATTGAATTTTGGTATTTAATAATTTTTAGTTATTAAGTTTATTATATTTTTTCCGTAATGGTTAGAGATATATAGTTGAATTTTGAGCTTATTTTAAATTTTCCTTAGGTTATTAGTTACGTTGTAAATTTCTTTTCTTTTTCTTTTTCGAAAATTTATGTTGCAAATTAATTTCTTTATTCTGATATGTTTCGTTATTATACATTTTTAATAATAACTTTAAAGTTCTTTTTACTTATAATTTGTGACTTCAAAGTTGTTTATTTAAATGACAGATTGATAAAGTTTTTTTATTTATTCATGAATTCGATCAGCTCCATCATACATGATTTTTATTTGTTTGTATCTAAATAAAATATTTAAGCTCAAGCAACCGGATTAGCATATTTTATGGTTCCAATGTAGTTGTAGCTTTCGAGTAACACACCATAGTTATGTTTTTGGGTACTTTCTATGCTGCTCTCACATAGTTGATAGCACCTACTAGGAAGAAAAATACCGAAAAAAGGGTACGAAATACTACAGACACGATCCTATGACAATTTAAAGAATATAGGGCCCGCAAATACGTGAATAGGTCAAAAAATAGTTGTATAAGTTTCTCTCCGAATACGTGAATAGGTCAAAAAATAGTAGTATAAGCTTCTCTCGATCACATAAGTGATAGTACTTGGTCTTCTAGTAAGATCTAACACCAACTAGACATGGGTACGAAATAATATAGACACGATAATATGGTAATTTAAAAAATATAGGATATGAATGCGTCAAAAAATAACAACATAATCATGATTGGATCTCGAATGTAGTCCCAATGAAGACGAAGCTATAGAATGGCAAGAATATGACTAAAAACAAGCAAGAAAATCATATCGATGGCTCAACCGTACTTTGACACTCGAGGGTCGGCAACAAGTCAGTACATAAATACCAATATTGGCAATGGGTTTTGCACCTGCATGTTGTGACACATCGCTCCCAGAAGTAAAACCACTGGCTCCGGCAAGTTACAAGTTCAGAAGCGACATATTTTTAGCTGAATTTGATACGTGTTCAAAATGTATCATCGTATCAGAGTGTCGATCCCATCACAATATCCTAGGGAAGGTATCCAGAATCCTTACCTTCTCACATAATGTGGACGTCAATTATTACTAAGTTGACACATATATCAAAATATTCTTATTTAGTTCAATTTTTTTTAAAAATAATTTTATATTTTTTTGAGAACTAAAATTGATGAATGACAAAAATTCAGTAAGACCAACAAGTACATTTTCGACAGACCAAGGATATTTTTTTTGGTGAAAACAATGCATTGAGAAACGCTCATTAGCTCTTGTTTGTGGGTCATGTTGATTTATTGCTAAAAACATTCGTTCAGGGTTCCGAAATTGAGTTTTCTTATCTGTTAGGAGTCGTGTTGATTATTTCTGGATTTTTGTTCGAGGCCTAAATGAAATCTAATTGCTTTCAAATTTTAGATTTAATGTATTTTTATTTATTAGGTTTCTTATTCTATTTTTTAATTATTTTAGAGAAATTAACTTTAGTTCTAGACTTATTTTTAGTGTTATTTTGCTTTTGGTATTAGGTTTCTTTGTGGTTTTAGTTTCCTTCTAGTGTTAAGTTTTCTTTTATTATAAATATGTGTACTGTCAAACACAAAATTAACTTTTTATTCATTCAATTATTCAATACAATATCATATTTTTCTAAATTTATCTCTTGTTTTGTGGATTCAAGACACCCTACTTTATGGATTCAAAGTAACTCATTCCTTGTAAACAAATTTATCGCTTCCGCTTATGTCAGTTGGTATCAGAATCTTGTCTTTTCCTGATCTAATAACAGGTGCTCGTTTTGGTTGCACCCACTTTGCTGACGATGATCGTAGAGTGAGGCAACTTGGGCAGCCATCATACTCAAGATCAATTCATAGGAACTAGTTTTGGAATTGGTGGCAACCAGGTTCGTGGTTTAGTTTGAGTTCGTGCTGATGATGTGTCTCGTAGCCAACTGAATATGGGTTATGTTCCTATTTATCCACGTACGCCTCCAATCTAGCTATGCAGATTATTTCGATAATTCTTACGCTAATGAGTTCATATTCAGTGATCGAAGTAAACGCAACAATCGTGAATTTCAGGTAAAACTTGATCTACTTACTTTCAATGGAAGTTTTTATTACTGAATACGTCTTGGACTAGATTGAAGAAGTTGAAGAATTTTTTGAATATTTTGATGTACCTGAAAACAAACAAGTTCCGATTGTTGCCTTAAGCTTAAAGGTTGGGCTTCAACTTGGTAGGAACAAATACAATTTTATCGAAGTAGGCAAAGATCATAGCCTGTACAGTTGTGGTACAAGATGAAACGATTGTTCGTGACTAAATTTCTACCACCAAATTATAAGGAAATAATGTATCAAAAATATCGGAATTATCGAAAAGAGAGTCCACCGTCAAAAACTCAACAGTGAAAAATGATAAGAAAGATAGTGGCACCAACAATAATAATAATTTTATTGAGGTAACGACTGACATTATTTAGGTTGATAAAGAGAAAAAAATTGTTGATTCACCTATTGTAGATGAAGAAGATAAAGTTAAGGATATGAAAACATTAATTTCTTTGCATAAGTTAATTGGTAGATACAGAAAATGATTTTAGCACGACGAAAGAAAACGATGGTGACAAGAAGGTCAATGCTGAAGTTGAGTAATAGGAATTAATTGATGATCAACAAGTTAATGATTTTTCCAAATTAGATGTCCAAGATGACATGGAAGAAATCGGGCTTCAAATTGGTGAAGTGTTATTATTTGAGGAAATTGTTAATGAAGAATTATTTATTCTGGAACGTACCAATGAAAATACTTTGGTGTCGTGCTTTGGAAGTTCTCATGGCAATGAACAATATGATTTTGTGGTAATATTATTCATAGGCAAACTCGAGGACGAGTTTTTTTAAAGTGAAGGGGACTGATGCATGATAGAAATTCAGTTAGACCAAGAAGTCCATTTTTGACATACTATAAGTGTTTTTTGGGTGTAAAACCATGCAATGAGAAACACCCAGTAGCTTTAGCTTGTGGGGCCATGTTGGTTTTCCGCTTAGAACCTTTATTTAGAGCTCCGAAATTAGGTTTTTTTTATCTGTTAGAAGCCTTGTTGATTATTTACGGAATTTTTTTTAGCCTAAACGAAGTCTGATTGTTCTCAACTTTTAGATTTAGTATTTTTTGTTTATATATTAAGTTTCTTATTCTATTTTTTCAAAAGTTTTAGAGAAATTTTAGTTTTAGGCTTATTTTTAGTGTTATTTTCCTTTTGCTATTAGGTTTTTGTATGTTTTTAGTTTCCTTCTGGTGTTAGGTGTCTTTTATTATAAATAGGTGTACTGACAAGTGCATAATTAATTTTTATTCATTCAATTATTGAATACATTATTAGATTTTTCTAAATTTATCTCTTGTTTTGTGGATTCAAAGTAGCTCGTTCCTTGTGAATAAATTTATCGCTTTCGCTTATATCCAAAAGTAAGAAAAAAAATATTGATTGGACGTAGCTTAAAATTGTTTTTTAAAAACTCAATTTAAAAATATTGTAGAGAATTTGTCCAAGGTTGATTCCGCAATTAGTCATACCGTAGCATTTTAAAATTCTTATGAGAAGTTCCTTCCTAAAAGAACTTAAAAAAAGAGAAAAGAAAAGAACACTCTACTTATCACTCCGTTTGTTTCGACGTAAAATATCCTTTTTGAATTTTTTTTCTAAGTAAAATATTATTTTATTTTTATTTTGTCGGTGTTTGGCAAAAGTTTATGTCAAGGTTGAGGTCGAGTCCATCGGGCGGGGCATATAATAAAATAACTTGCCAAAAATTAATGGAAAAATTATTTTTGTTAAATTTTAATATTTTTTTTCTTCATAAACATTTATAACAACCAAACACCAGGAAAAAAAAAAAAAAAAAAAAAAAAAAAATTCTAAAAAATATTTTATGTCCACCAAACAAACGAAGCCTTAGTCTCAGTATAGATTTTTTTTTTTTTTTTCTTTTAAGTATAGATGGAATGTAATGACCCGATCATTTTTCTTCCTTTTCTTTTTCTCAGATTTTAACGAATATTTTTTTTGCGTTGTCTTTTCCTTTTTGGGTTTGGTTTTTCATCACTTGATGTTGTCTCGAGTGCTCGGGAATGATTTCCGAGACTCTTTTCCTTGGATTGACAACTTCCTTTGGGGATTGTATCATTTCCATATTTTATTTTTCCGAACACTATTCACATTTTGTCTTTTTCTCGTTTATCCTTTTTCCTTACACAACTTCACTTTTTGTGCTCAGATTTGATTCCGGTTTTGCATGCATTCATGATATTTGATTTCCATGATAGTGGTATTTTTACTTTTCTAGAAAAGTATGTTGATTGCTTACTTCTTTCATAAAGGGGCATTAATCCATACTTTAGTGTAATTATTCTTAACTTGTGGGGTTTTAGTGTAACTAAATAAAATAATTATTTTTCATCTTGGGGACCATTTTGTAATTAAATTTGGAAGATATTTTCAAAAAGGACCTTTTTGTAATTTTTGAAAAGTATGATAAGTG